TCTCTCTCTCTATTAATAAACTTCGGTCCTATCAACGATGGGGTTAAATTCGGAAGCCCCACCTCCTAAATGTTCTATAATTGTATCGATGGGACATAAAAACATTTTTTTTAAAAACTGATATTTCCCTATTTCTTTTCTTTATGAAAAAATCTTTAAATAATAAAAAGCAATCTCTAGTTTTAATAATATAAAAGCCATTTTCAAGGTTTGATAGTAGAAACTAATCTCTATTTTTTTATACTAAAACAAATCTCTACTTTTAGTAATGAAAGCCAATCTTTTTTTTATAATGATAAAAGCAAATCTCTATTTTTAACCACAAAAACCAATCTCTATTTTTAATCATAAAATATCAATCTCTATTTGACCATAAAGAGCAATCTCTATTCATTTTTAAAAAAATCATAAAGCCAATCTCTCTCCTATTTTACTTCCTTTCTAATATTTTTGCTCACCCCCACATCCCCTCTCCTGCCCCTGTCTGACGACTTTTGTGGCAGACCATAGTTCTAAAGTTCGCGCCCAGCCGACTCACGGCGGTGCATGAGTTTCTGAAGTCCCCGCCCCCCGTCTCCGTCCATGTGTGTTCCCGGTCAGGGAAGGGTCAGTCTCCGCGCCATGTCCAGCTGGAGCAACGAGCGGCAGAAGATGACCTTGGCCGGCGCCGTCAGGTCAGGGGTCAAGGACATTCTGAAGGACGTTCTGGAACGGCCCGAGTCCGGGGCGTCTCTGGATGAGGGGGAGTGTGAGGAAGAGACGTGAGTGGCCGTCTGTCTGTCTGTTTGCTCGTCCGTCCGTGCCAAGGGACTGCACGTGCACACTTTCCCTTACACCTTCTTCCCTCCCTACTCCCTCTTCCTCCCCTCTTCCTCCTCCCTCTCCATGCCCCTCTCCATGCCCCTCTCCCCCCCCCCCTTTGTCTCACATTTTCTTTTCTCCTCTCCACTGTATCTCAGCTCTCTCTCTTCCTCCATCGTGTGTCCACCCCCCACGCCCCCTCCTTCATCTCTTATGTACTTCTTTTCTTCTACCCCCACCTTCTCCTCAAAATAAATGAATAAATAAAAGAATTAAACAAGGGAATTAATGTATGAGTAAATAAATAAATAAACAAATAAATAGTTTTTGAATTAATAAATAAATCAACAAAAATCAACAAATCAACAAATACAATAAATAAAATATAATAAAACTTCTCCACTGCAACTCTTCTCTTCTTTTC